CCGGGGGGGGGGGGGGGGGGGCAGCAGAGGAGCAACCAGTAGTATTACATTAGGCCATTTCTTGGGCATTTTCAGTGTCTTTTATGTGGTTTTTGGTTGCTGCTGCCGTTGCCGTTGCTGGTTTATTGCTTTCACGGGGGCTTCGACTTCGTCTTTCAATGCGCAGTGCGGGCGCATGGGGGGGAGGAGAGTTTGTGTGTTTTGTACATGACACCAACACACACGAAGCGCTCGTGGTAGTAGTTGCCAAAAGGCTGAGTGTTGCGTGTGTTTGTGGGCAAAATGCATACCAAGAAGTGTTTCCATTCTTGGTGTCTCTGAGTGTGTCGACGTACAGCTGTGTCAAAGCGAGAGTGTTGCACTCATTTTCTTGGGAGAGTTCATGCTTTGCCTCACGGGCGTGTTTGTTTTAACTCGTTCCTGTATATGATCTTCAAAAGGAGGTACTGCCTTGTCCGACGAAGGGGTTACCCGGGACGGGATGGGGGGGGGTCCTTTTCTCTTGATACCGAACACAGAACCAGCCCCCGCCTATTCGGCTGAGTGAGCCACTCATTGTCCAAGATATATGTACAGGAGCTGCACCTCACGAAAGCTGTAGCATCCGGAACGGGTTGCCGTTTCATTTTGAGCGTCTTTCAGCGTTGGCGGAATCGGAATCGAAGTGGCGAGGTTGTCGCAGCGTTACGAGAGTCGTCTCTGTCAGTCCTCGTCGCGGCTGTGATGGCGTTTGTCGTCCTGTACCATGTTCCGCCCCGGCTGGGTGGGTTTTCCAGTGCGGGGACCGGGGGGCGGCGTATCGCACACGCAGAAGCGGGCGATGGATGTGGGGTGTGGTGACGGCAGCAGTAGTTTGAAGCACAGGATGGCCTGGCGCAAGGATCAAGCGATTTGTTTTGACTGGACAAGCTGGGGGAGGTGTGGGGGGGGGTCTCCTGTGCAACGACGGTGTGTTAGGTGCCGGTTGGGCAGGCCGACATCGAAACGGTACCATCCATGTCCTAGTTTCGTTTCGCAGGTTGACCATACCAGACTGTAGTCAGCTGCGCTCGAGAGATTTTGCGTGTGGTTGTCGTGGCATATGCGTTGACTGCTGCAGACGTACTTTGGGGCGACCAGAGCGCAATATACACCACCGAAGCGAGGGCGGGTGGGCGGTTTCACTTTCCGATGGTTGATAGCGGCTACGAACGAAGAACTTCCACTGCCTTACTCTACCACCCATGGCTGTGGGCTATGGGTCGGTCGCCTCTTACTGAACGCCCTCGTGTGTACGTTGATGTGTGCGCGCTATGTACGATGTGTGCCACTGCTGCTGTACCGCCGTGTGTTGATGCAGGTTCTCGTGGCGATCCTGAAGCAGGAGTGGCCGCACAACTGGCCATCTTTCATCTCGGACATTTGCGAAGCAAGCAAGGTATGTGTCAAAGCAAGAGAGTGCAGCAAGGAGCGGCGGCTCGCTTGTAGGGAGCGCTCTTGTTGGGCCGGGGCTGACAAACTAGTTTTTCCCCCACCATTGAGGACAGGCAGTTACTGCTGTGGTAGCAAATTCTTCCAAGTATGCAAGTAACAACGGTAGTGCGGGCTGATTCCCAGAGGAACGACCGGGAGAACTGGTGGGATTACGTGCGACGCTAGCGGCTGAGACCAATTGCTTATGCCGAACTTCTAATTTTGGCAATATGTATGAACCTAAGATTGTTGTAGGATGCATCCGTACGAGTCGGCTGACACGTGTATTCCCCCAATTTTGTCGCCATTGGCGGACACATTTGAAAGAACAGCACCATATCCCAGCACATGGACAAGGGAATTGGGGTTTGTCGTATGTATCTTGCGGCTACGTCCGAATAAAGGTAGGCCTTTGCAGGCAGGAGGCTTGCCGGCCAGCTCTCTCGCCTTCCCTTTCCCGTGTCGTGCCCTTCCCCCGCACACCCCCACCATCACCATCACCATCGACTGCTGTGTGCATTGTCAAGCCACACGCGGAGAAGCTGTCATGAAAAAAGATAAGAGCGCTGACCAAAACATGTCTCCAGATACATGGCTGGAAGCTTAACTGCCAGGTGCAAGGTGCAAAACGACAGAGGTTTATTTCTGTGGAGTGATTGATGCACTCAGGCTCGACGAACAGCGCCAGTAATATTGTGAAGTTTTGGAAAATTTCAAGGTTGTATGGTGATGGATGGTCCCCTATCCACAGGCTTATCGCATCTTGTTGCCAATGACCTTACGTCGAACTGGTATCGCACGCACCAAGCTTGCTTGCGCCGTGTCGTGATGCCATGAAAAACCGAACCGAATCGCAGACGAACGAGGTGCTCTGCGAGAACAACATGCAGATCCTGAAGCTGCTTAGCGAGGAGGTGTTCGACTTCAGCAAGGA